GAAACGCCTTAGTTCTAAGTCCCAGTCTGTAGATTCCCCACAAAAGGTTGCAGACGTCAATCTGATAAATTTTAGCAACTACTACAACGAATTGCAGTCCAGTGTGCCAGACATTTACCAAAAAAAAACACTAATAATTTTGTTCAGATGACCACAACATTTGAAATTGTAGCATCATAACAACACTGTGCAGCGTAGTAAACTTTTCGACGATCAACAAAAACAGTGTTCCAAATTTGGCTCCATCGCAGTGAATGCGATGGAAACTGTGAGGAAATGATTGTATTACGGAAACAACTGACACAAAGACCCGTTGTTGTTGTTGTTGTTGTTATCATTATTGGCGCTTAGAATTAGACGGTGGCAAAAATTGTGGCTCATATATTCAGAAAACATAGTTTTTCAAAGTCCACAATGCTGTCTTTTATTGTCGGACAGTTTTTCGTTGAAAATTTAACCAATTTTTTTGTTTTTAAAACATAGTTAGACGATGATCACCAACTACAGTGTATACGTCATTTGTTGCCTGCAATAATTTGACTCATCCTTCTTTTTTTATTCTTCTATCTTTCCCTTATTTTTTGTTCACTTTTCTTTATTTTCTACCTCGTTTTCATCGCCTAAATAGTTATTGTCAAAAAGAAAATAGCACTGAATATTTACTGTAGGAAAATGAACTTCAAAAAGTTTTGTAATGGGATTAAAGAAAACAATAAATTCGGTTAGGAGAAAAATAAACAGTGAAAAGTTCTGATGTGTTATTGAAAAACTTGTCAGCATAACATTTACACATATAAATTGGTGTTTTCTTAGCTATCGCCTTTCTTCTTTTTGTACCGAACAACAGTACCAGAAAAACAAACAACTACGGTAGGCTCAAAAAAAACAAAACGAAATTTGCTTCTTTTTTTTAATATTGATCGTTTAAATTTAAAAGCTTCATTTCACTGTCCAAATATTGATGATATTAATTTTGAAAAATTGAAAATTTTTACGGACAGCTTCCATCTTCAATTGAATTATTCACAAAATTCAACGCTATTTCGGTGATTATATTCAAGCAAAAAAAAAAAAAAGCCATTACAGCTGCCATCAGAATGGTTGTTGTAAATATGGTGTGATCAATTGATGATCTTTGGAAAAAACAACAGAAAATTTAAGTTAGCAAATATCTGCTGCTGAACCAGCTCAAAAGTATTACTCATTAAACCGGGTAATAGTTTGACTGTATGAAGGAATCGATGCAAAACCTAACAAATGAATGTTTGCTTATTAAATTGCTAGCTATTAAAAAAAAAAAAGCACTCCGATAAAAAAGGGTGATACGACTTTCTCTACTGATAATAAAATATTTGAATCTTTTAAAATGAAATACAAAATATTAGAAAAGTACTAAACAAACCGAATATGTTTTTAAAAAAATAAGCCTCTGTTAATTTCAAAATTAAATTGAGTTTTCACTTTTTTTTTTCAATAAAATACTTCTGTACTGATAATCCAAACATTAAAAAAAAAAAAACTTGCATAAAAAGTTGAAAACTCTGTTTTTTGTTAAAAGAGAAAGAGGTTGCGAATGATGGATCAACAGAGAATTAAGGCACCTCTGAAACATAAACGAACAACATTCAGTTGAGACTGTAGCAAAAGAAAGCAATATAAAGCATCGGGAACAACATTAGTATACAGCAATGAAGTACAACTGGACAAGGTAAAATTAAAACGTCCCAAGTTGATATCTTTTAATCTGTAACTATGGTCAGCTTCTCGTAATAAGCTTCAGAACAAACTCCGATCAGTAACCACCGCCGATCTGATACCAGGAAACAGAGCAGCGACGATGCAGTGACGTTTGTTCTGTAAACATAAACTAAACGGCAGAAATCAATATTTCTGAGCAGTTATTGTTCGCCTTGTCTGTATGCGTCTTCTTGTATCTGCGTAATACCTGTATCTGTTTGTCTGTCTGTCTGTCTATCTGTACGTATGTTTCAGTTGATTTAACGACGTCATTTTATGGTAGGGGTATGGATTCTTACAATGGAAGACGATGAAATAATTGGTACTACCAATTCTGTTGTACTATCAACTATTATTGCTGTTCAGCAAGCTGATCATCGTCATCTGGTGATAAAAATCAGATGATACACCAAATAAATTGTTTTGAACGTCACTGCGGTTTACAGTTAAAGTAAAAGTTCATATTGGCAAATAGGTCGTGATTTTTAACAGCATAAATGTGACTAGTCTTTTTTTTTCCATCAATATTAGTAGTAATGTTTGATTGTCGTCATCATTTGGTCATTTACTTTAAAAAACTTTCCAAAACAACATCACGTAAAAATTTTAAAATTATACCAAAAAAAAAAAAAAAAGAATTAATCACCTAGGAAATTTCTTAACAATAAAGCAATAGTAAACCAAAGGATAATTGGCAACGGAAGCACAAATTTATCAGCTGCCTACCTAAACAAAATAAACAAAGTAACCGTCTTCAGTAATCATTTGTAATTCCTTGCTTAAAGTTGACTTTATTTATGCACAAAAAATTTTACCATTCTGTTTACTGAATCACTGCCTGAATCAGCAGGTTTCAGATTTTTACTTTCGATAAATTGACTTTTCCAAAACCAGTTTGGCGGTTCAAAAGCAACAAAGTCTACCTACTGAAGCAACTCAAAAAGCAGCAGCGAAGACCTGAATGAAAGAAGGAAGCATTGGGTAAAACAATGCTATATTTGCAACTGTCTTTTGATAAGTACAGTGAGGCGGACAACCTCAGACAGGTACCCGAACTTTTCAAAATGGTATTACCTCTGCAGTCATCAAACTGTCCATTCCACCAGCACATTACAAAGATCTGAGTTATTAAGGAAAAAATGGTTAACAAAACAAATTCTTGTTTTATTACTAGACAAAGAAGCTTTTAAGATCGCAGTCTTTTTTTTTT